ACGAAGTACTCTTAGCCTTTCCGTGTACAGAGGAAGCCTTTCTTTGACTGTCCCCTTGATCTTTGGATTTTTAATTCAGGGACACATCTACTCTCCTGTTTGACACAATCCTACAACACTACTCGTACAACCGACGAGTACCTCCTTCCTGTTGACTTCCTACTCCATTGTTTTCTGGCTTATCCGATATTCGTTTTGCCCTCTTTATGGGTGCGCAACGAAAGTTTACGTTCCTTCAGTATTGTCGCCTCTGTCGCCATCTCCAGTCAAGTAGTTTTACTACTGGGTTGTTCCAGCTTGTTCTCTCTTAGGCTGGGCATGTGGCCAGCTTATATGCTCGTGGCGTTGTAAAAGACGGAAGTCACATATGTTATTCCAGTTCATTGTTGAATCTGTCCTATCAGAAAATTATTTCGAAGAGAGACCAAACACATTTTTGCTCAAACTCTCTGTATGCTGTCTAGATCATATTTGCATGAAAAGCCCATTATAACACGTTTAACCTCTGTGGTCTCTATGTGTAGGATAAAACATTTGTTAGCTGTTACTGTTAGCACGTTACCGGCAGTCTCAATTCATTCTTTCTGACAGTCACAAATGAACATGAACTTCCATGTACATTTTAAAGTTAAAATTAAGAACTCTGTGTCTTGAATATGTTGCAGTTAATAAATGAAAATTAAATATTTCTATATTTGTTACCTATTGATGTCATCATTGCAGTGTATGAAAACAATTATAATAGCTGTTTTGACTGTAGCTGGACAAGTACGAAATAAAAGAGCTGAATAAAACTTCGGACATACTGGTGCTTACACCGACAGACCCGTCATTGCCTACGTATTACCTGAAGCCTGTTGATACTGCTGATTCAGAAATTATCAAGCAGACGTGGTCGAAGGATATGACTGAATGCAAGAAAACACTAAGTACGTTAGTGGCATTATTAATATAATTCTTTGTGAAACCTAGTCATAAACCTACTGATATTCGTCTTCTGAAGTGTGCTCGTATTTTAACAGTTTTTGAGAAACTGTTCAGCAAAAATGCGGCCTATCAACAGTAAACAGTGTCGATGAATACCTCATTATTACAATAAATCATTTTCATATCGCAGAGACGTCATCGTCAGATGCATTGCTCACGTTCAAGCCTGAAGGTAGGCTTGACACATCCCAGATTTGGACCAGGATTCATTCTGAACCATGGCTATGGTCTCCTTTGCCAATCAGTCAAGCAAGATCATCCGTTCTCAGTGGCATTTGAAGAAACTGCCAAATGGGTCGTAGTTGCAATCTCCCAGTCGATTCCTAGACTTTCTTTTTCAATAGGCCTATCTTGATCAATTGCGCAAGCCCGGCAAGTTTCAAACGAGGGCCAGGTTCAGCTGCTAGTTTTTCGATCGCATGACGTCCCAAGACCATTGAAGAACATGCGGAGTAGATTCGACTCGATGGATTATATTT